CCTTTGTGCTGCTGAGAAGGTCATCCCCCAGCCTGTAAGTGTGTTGGTGGTACTTTTTGCCTTGGTGCAGCATTTTGCGCTTGTCTTTGTTGAACTGCATCCTATTTCATTCTTCCCATTTTTCCAACATGTTCAGATCTTCCTGGATCTGTTCCCTACACTCTGGTGTGTTAACTTTGCCCCATAATTAGGTATCATCTGTAAACTTGGACAGGGTGCTTTCCACGCCTTCGTTCAAGTCACTGATGAAGACATTGAATAGCACCGGTCCAAGGACCAAGCCTTGAGAGATTCCACTGCCCACGTTTCCAGGTCACTATCAGCCTGTCCACCACCATTCTCTGGGTGTGATGCCTAAGCCAATTTTCCACTCACCTGACCCGAATTAATGCAGTTCAATCTGAAGATGAGCCAGAGGCAGCAGTTGTTAAATATTCCACCATTCCAGGACATTTGGTGCAGACAGAAGAACAGATCCTATTATAACTCATGGTGCTTCACAGAAAGTGCCATGAATTATAACAGTCTCTTGGACTCAACAGGCATTTGCTGTTGGGTCCTGGGGTATTCAGCAGCTGTTTAGAGTAGCTGTGAGCCTGCTGCAGCTCTCCCCTAGCAATGTCCCTCCCCCACTGCCCCAGCCCCAACACTGTTTTCAGAATGGGATGGGAAAAACAAGCACAGAGAACTCATTCTGGGAGTTGCTCAGCCAGTGGTGATCCACGTTGGAGGGACTCCAATCCACCACCTTCTAGTACCAGCTGAGCAGCACACAGAATAAGCTCCCTCTACTCCCTTTCCTCCCCCTCATTTTGAAAATAGTGCCAGGAGCAGGGAAGCTCAGTCCTTCTCCTGGAGCATGCAGATACAAGTTATTGAGAACACTCCTCTTTGGAGCACCTTTATCTGAACTGTCATTAAATGAGGGTTCAGATTTTCATGGGGTTTGGCCCTTTTAAAGCACTCTGCAGCCATACACTTGTTTGTTCATGGCTACAGAGCACTTTCAGGGGCCAGATCAGGTGAAAATTGTCATTTTTGTCTGTGCTTATAGTGAGTGGTCTGAAAGATCTTTTTTTCTTCATTCTGCCTTTCAAGGACAAGGTGCATTGTATACTCTAAGAGTATGTTGCATACAAGAAAATATGGTCTTTGTAGGAGAATCTTAATTCCCTCTGCTGTTCAAGTGTATTTGCTGTTCAAGTGGGCATGCCTACACAAGATGCCATAATGCGCAGCAGACTATTCTACTGTGCATTAGCACGTCATGGCAAAAAACATGCTAATGCACAATAGAATTAGCCTACTGCACATTAAGCATCACAAAAATACCTTTGCTACTGTGCATTAGCACAGCTACTGCCCCTTTATGTAGTATCTCATGTTAGAGGAACTAAATTTAATGTGCAGTAGCAAAGAAGCATTAATGAACATGTAGATGCACCCAGTGTAATCAACAACTGGACTTAAAATATTCATAATTTTAGCTATTTTGCTCAGTTGTGATTGGTGAAATAAGTCACATGGAATTGTTTCTTGGTACTAGGATAGCCAGAGAAATATAGACTGAATATTTGCATATACTAATTTAACATTAGGGTTTAGAGAATGCCTCTTCTTGGGGCTGAAATTCCCTTTCCTCAAATATTTTTGTAAGTTAGATAGACCCTGTTGCACAAACATGTGTGGTAACCAGAAAAGGGACATAAGCGTGTTTTAAATTAACTAAAAAATGTGAACAAATACTCATTGGAATAAAAGTATATATTTGCACATTTCTACTAAAGAGAAAGCTCAGTTTTATCCTCTTTACCTTCATCCTATTTATCATGACTGCTATAACCATGGCTTTCAGGAAGCGTTTAATCACATCCAGACACTAAATTCCTATAGCCCCAGAAAGAGCTTGAATTCTCTTGGTGATATAGGTGTCAGTTAATTAAGGAAAATGTAGTTATTATCTTAGGAAACCTAGAACACTGTAAATAATTATCCACAGTGCTTGGTGGATGCCCAACTCTTCCCACAGGAACACATGATTTGCCATTCTAGATCAGAACTGGGGCCCATTTAAGTTGTAATCCTGCCTGCAGCAGTGCTAGCATGGGGTGCTTTTCAGAAAGGAGTGAGAAAAACCCTCTCGTGGGCAGTCATGAAACTCATATAGGAACCCCAGACAAGTTGGATCCACCACAGTTCATGAGTGCTTACAGCTTTCATTGTTCTGTGTTGTGAGTGCTAAGCTGGTTCAAAAATTGTGCCCTCAGCAATTGGCTTGCACCTTGAAGCCTGAGGTTTTTACATTCCTTATCTTCTCTAGTTTGCACAATGTAACTGGCTGAGCTCTCCATTCATATGAAAGCCTGCTCCTTTTTATTTCATGCTCATCTTTTGCCACAATGGCACTTTGTGGCAGCAAGTCCCATGGATAAATTGTGTTTTGTTCATTTTTTCTCTCTCTTTACAATCTTAAACACATTGTTTGTCAATTTATTAAATGTCTCCTTGCTCTCCCTGTAGGAAACGGGCACGCTTATTGTCTCTGGATCATTCATTATTTTGTATACCTCGGGTCCGCTTTTGTTTCTCCCCCTTCTAAACTGAACTGTCCCAGTCTGCTGTTTAGAAGGAGGGGAGAAGGCTGTCGTCATGAATTATTCTGGGTATCCCTGCTTTATTAGTTTTGGCATTAGGGAGTTTTTAAATATAGATTTTATTTTTATAGGATAAAATACTTTTGCACTAAGAGCCTGGCTAGACTTTGCTTGTTCTGTTCTCCTAGCTCAGGTTCCAAAGCTTATAAGCAAAATATTGTAGAAGCAAGACAAGTGCTGGGATGTTAAGACAATCCCTGTGTCTGAGCTAGAGGAGAAGATGCTCCTCTGGTCTAAAACACCGTGGAGGGTGAGAAGCCCTGGTATTATGAAACTAATTAAGCAGCTACCACTCATGCTCCACAATTCAAAGTGCTCAGAATATGGAGCTAAACCCAAGTGAAGGCTTCTTTTTTCAGAGTCTTTTTGTAAAGCAAATTCTGTGCCTTGCCTTTCTAACATGAGTTGGAATGAACACCAGCCCTAAGGTTAAATTTTATAAGTATTTCTAATCTAGATCACAGTCTTAATGTCATAGATCCAGCCATCCTCTACACATATTGTCTGCCTGAAATGATAGCACTTGCTCCCCTGTTCACTGGAAGTGAGAACTAACCACTTCTGTTGTGGTACAATTAGACAGGTGGCCTGGACAATGGATTCCAGTAATCGTAAGCGTACAAGCTGTCAGCAGATGCAAACATCCATCCATCAAACATCCTCTACTTGTTATACCCAGGAAACAGAAACATCCAGAAAAGAATGGGAGAAACTGAGAACTTCACTCTGGTGCACATATTGTCTTGGGAGCGGAGAGCTGGTACCATTATGCTGCTGTGGGGCTATGACTTGGTTTGAGAGATGCATGTGAGCCAAAACTCCACAGGTGACCATCTTCCTCTCTTTAGGAAAGTTGAGATGTGAACCAGAGATCAGCATCAGCAGTAGTGTAATTGATAGTGGGGCGGGGTGGGGAGGCAACCGAGGCAGCAGCCTTGGGCACCCACTGAGTGGGGTGCACAAAAATAGTTGCTGTAATCAGCACAGCAGCAGTCTGTGTTGCCCAGTGTGTCACGGCTGCCCTGGGCACAGAGGTGGCCTGCTGTACCCCTGTTTGGATCCATTTCTTTTCCTAAAATAAGAATAGTCAGGCTTATAACCTGGATTGATGCCCTCTGCAAAAAACCAACGGAAGGGTGTTTTAGTGAAGTGGCCCAAAGCTCAGAGAGACAAGTGCTTGGGCATGTCATGCACTTTTGCCTGCTCCTTCCTTAGGCCTGGGACCTCCCGCCTTCCCTCCACATACACACACACCTATCAGCTGGGATGCATACCTGAGACAGCCACACTCAGAAGTGCATGCACACTGCTTTGAGAATCAGGGCTGCAAGAACTCATCCTTCTTTGTGGTGCTGCTGGAGATGCCATCTTTCTGTTGGTTGTTATTTGTGGCTTTGAAGGGTCCATATCATTTTCACCATGATTTGGCCCTAGCCCAGTTGTCCTCATCAGATTCCAGCTTGGGTACTGGTACTTCTGGTCTCTCTATATTTCTTTTTTGGGACCCAACATCTTTCCACCACTTCCCCTTCCCTCCCTCCCTCCCCTTGCCCCTCTTCTACCTTCCAACCTGCAAAGTCCCATGGGCCTAGGAGATGATGTAGTGGGAAAAAAGTGGGAGGAGCACTTTTGTGTTGGACAAATGAGCAAGGAGGACAAGTGAGCAGGGAGAAGCTGGAGCTGAGGGAAGGATGAGAGCCTTTCAGTCAGCTCCATTTTCTCCTTCCCATACCTCTCTGGACAGTGGAGTTGAGGGAGTTTGGGTTGTACAACCTGATCTTGGGAAAAGATGAACACCTACAACTGCTCTTTGTAGGCTGGGATAATTGTTGGTGCTTAAGTCCTCCCAGGATTAGATGTCTTGAAGAGCCTTTCAAGGGACTGCTCCTATTCCACTGATTTGGGGGGAAGCAAGGTTGAGCAGTAAGGACCAAGCTTTGCCACCCTTTCCCTATGGGTGGAGCCTCACTTTTCAAGTGGGCCTGTTAGACACAGAAGAGTGTCAGAATTTGGACCATAAGGGCAGGCTTCTAAAAGTAGAACCAGTGCTGTTTTTGTATTGCCTATCTTTCCAGATAAACTAAACGGACTGGGGTCAGGCTCACTTTACTCTACCAGTCTGTAAACCAGCTGTTTTCCAACATTTATTGTTAACCCTAGATTTTTCCTACTGTCTGCCCACCCTTTCCCTCGGTCAAATTTTAGGACACTGGTAATGTTTGGGAAGCTGTGTAATTCTAGCTGGACAGAGATCAGGATGGATTCCCATAAATGCTCGCCACTCATGCTTGCTTGCTTTGCTCATTCTTGGCCATTTGAAAGGAGAGACTTAAACAACAGGAGATGGAGTTAGAACTTTATTAGGACAAAACAGGCACAGTTCAGAATCACTTGTTAAGGAGGACGCACAGCTTTGGGCTCAACAATCCATGCACATAAAGCACCGTAGACAGACAAAAAGCAAGTTAAATTGTTTTCCCCGTGCACGCACGTGTGTGTGTGTGTTTGTGTGTGTGTGCAGGAAATTGTACCAAATCAAAACCCCTCATTACAAGCAAGGAATCACCATGCTCTCAACAGCAAATGTTGGAGCAACAAGCAGAATCCCCAGTGAAACCATTCTCAGCTCATATACACCCAGCCCACTCATTCAGAAGCAGCTGCCCATCTCTGAAAGGGCGAAGCAGGGTAAAAGAGAGGGAGCAGGTTGAACCTTAAATGTAAACTTAACCCCCTTGTTTCAGTTATGTGGTGAGTAATAGAATCAAGTATGGTGAGGTGGGGGTCGTGGAAAAGGAACAACCCAAGGGTCTTCTCAAACAGTTCCACTTTGGGGTCCCCAGCATTTTGAGCTGATGACCGCTCAAGATCACTCGCAGAGTGAAAAGCAGCGAGGTGCTTGTCTATTTCTTAATGAACTAGTGCCTGACAGAAGACTCTGTATTTTAAGAGCCCTGATGGGCAGGCCCAGCAGAACAGCCAAGACCTGGACAAGTCATGGAGACTAGACAATATTCTCGTAATCAAAGTCCCTTCACAGTAAGGTTGAAGTGCAATGACAAGGCTGGTACAATCGCTGTCCAGGTTGCAGCCCTTCTGCAGATAAATAGAGGATGTCATTCTCCAGGAAGGCATCACAGCAGTGTGCGGCTGGCTTAGAAGTCTTGTTAAAGAGGAAAAAAAAATCACAGCTCTCCTCCCACATGCTATTCTTTACTCTTTTTTTTTTAGCAGTGACATGTGCTTCCATGGAAAATCCATTTGTGTTTGTTAGGGGGACCTTTCTTTTGAAACTGATCTAACAGAGTGTCTCAGGAAAGTTCCTTCAGCCCACTTTAATGGTCGTCTGGGTTGTATCTAGGGATATTAGGGTCCATCCACTGGTCTGACCCTGGGATCATGAGGATATTTCCATTGTTGGACACTGAGGCACTTCGATTTTGTGGAGAAAACAGACAATTCTACAAGAAGGCGTATATACATAGTTTCAAAAATTCAAGTAAAATTCATAGTATAAGTAAGGCAAGTTGGTATAATGCATCTCAGTCCAGGCAGAGGAGGGAAAGGGAAAGGGAAAGAAGTTAAATATAAAGAATTTTTTCTAGTGTATTCTTTCTGGTTTCTCCTCAGGGGAGAGAAGCTACAGCTCATTGTGCTTGCAAACCTGATGTAGCCCCCAAAATGGGATTATCCGGACAATGTATGGCGCTTGTGTTCAGTATTACAGCCTGTGGCCAGTCTCATATTTAAGGCAGAGGGACAACCTCAGAAACAGACAGGCCCTGGCAGGAAATGCTCTGAAGGGCTAAGGGCAGGTCCTGTAATCCCTGTGGGTAGCTATGACCTGCTGCTTTTTTCGGTTGCAAATTAGGTGTGGTCTGGAGGATTGTGGCAAGTTGCCAGCATACTCCCTGCTGTGTAAAGCACAGTCACCTGAGCTGTAAGGCACAAGAGGTGCTGTTTGGAGTATGGCAAAGCCATTCACAAAAATGGCAGAGAGCAATAAAAAAGAGAGAAGAGTGGCAAGCGTTTCGAAGCCCCACTGCAGAGGTTTGGCTTAGCACTGAGACGTCCCCTCCTTTCTTGCCCCACTTGGAGATCAGTCACACTGACAGGTCGTCTGACCTAGCCTTGCTGCTGGTGCGGCTGGTCTTGCTGAGCCGGCGTTTCTCATTGAAGTAGCCATTGGCAGGCAGGTGAGGAGAAGATTCGTTGGCTACTTCAGGACTCTGTGCATAGTTGATCTGAATAAATTGCTCTTCCCTGACTGCATCATCTTGGTTATGGACCCTTTCAGTGGCAAAGTTGGCTGTATTCTGCTGAGAGGCCATTTTGTTGCTGAAAGGGCTGATGAATTTCCCGTTGGGGTTTGCCAAGCACTGATTGAAATCTGGAGGAGGAGTGCAGGTTTGGGCCATCTCCACTGGTGGTGCAGTCTCTGGCTTGATGCTGACCATACTGGGACTGGGTTTGTATGATCTAACACATTTCTCCTTTGCTTTTTTCCAACCCAGGTGGTAGAGCTCAGCTACACTCAATAACAGTGACAGCACTGCTACAGCAAGCATAAAGACGATGAAGACATTCTTCTCTGTGGGCCGAGAGACATAGCAGTTCACAGGGTGGGGGCATGGCGCCCGTTGACAGATGTACAGGGTCTCCAGGAAGATCCCATACAGGATGTATTGTCCGACAATGAAGGCCACTTCCATAGCGGTGCGGATCAAAATGCTGTAGACGTAGGTGTTCAGCAGGTTGCCTCTGAGTAATATTCTTCCACTTGATTCCTCTTGATAGACAAACTCAACTTTCTCTGCTACAGGATATTCCTTTTGGTGATATGAGTCACCACCACTTTTCATCTCCTTCCTACTCAGTTCTGCCTCCTTCATTTTTCTTTTCTCTTCCATGCGCACCTTGTGCATTGCATGTCCCATGTACAGCAGTGATGGGGTAGAGACAAAGATGATCTGAAGAACCCAGTACCTGACATGGGAGATGGGAAAAGCCTTGTCGTAGCAGACATTCTCACAACCGGGCTGCTGGGTGTCACACATGAAGTCGGACTGCTCGTCTCCCCAGGAGGACTCTGCTGCTGTGCCAAGCACCAGCATCCGGAAGATGAAGAGCACTGTCAGCCAGACTTTCCCCACCACTGTGGAGTGTTTGTGGACCTCCTCAAGGAACTCTCCCAGGAAACTCCAGTCACCCATTTCTGCTTCCTGGGAGAATAGCCTCTGTGGAGAGAATGACGGAGAGAGAGAGAGAGAGAGAGAGAGAGAGATAGTCTGAGCAAGGTGGTGATGGGAGAGAAAATGTTGCATTTGAAAAAGTCACTGAGGAAAAAGTCTGAGGATTCAGCTGTTGATGTATTCACTCAAAAAGCCCTCTCAGAGAAATCACTCACACTTTTACTTCTCTGTATCATGGTGGCAGGGTTATGCCCTTCCTTGGAGCATCTAGTTCTGGGGATCATCTCTTAAGACAGAGCATGTGGCTAGATGAATTTCTAGGTCTCTTTTGGTTGTGGCAGGTTTTAAAGTATAAATCACTATAGGCACTGGGTAGGGCAGGGTGAAGATTTTATTCAAGCAAAAATTTAATTCAGTTGAGTCAAAACAATTTGCAAATTTAGGTTGAATTCTCTAAAGTGTTTGACTGAAGCAAAAATTAAAAGAATTGAGGGGATTTAGGTGCCATTGGGGAAAGGATATGGGCTCCTGTCCTATACCTAGTAGTTAGGACCCTCACCTGCAATGCAGAAAGCCCATATCCTGTCTACCTGAGTCATAGCTGTGATTTGATCAGAAGTTTCCCATGTTGAGGGAAGAGCAAACTAACCAGGAGTCAATAGATTATTAGGTTATTCTGGAATGGGGGATCTTGCAGTCTCTCCTAGTGGAGCTGGTCTAAGTTGGAAAAAACCCACAGTGCTGTGCAGTAGTGATTAGAAGCCAGGTATCTCCTCCTCCCAGTGAGTGCCTAGGCACCCAGCTATAGAGTCACTCTTTGTCTGTCTTTGGGGCCAAATAAACACTTAAGCATTTTATTCAAAGAGGGACTGCATCAACAGAAGCAAGGCCAATGTCAGTGTGCCCAGTAATCTAGTGGTTAAAGCAATCTCCTAACAGCTGTAAGATCTTGGTTCAGATGCCTACTCTGAATTGGGCAGAATGGGGCTTTGAATCAAACACACTGATCTAATCACTGGATGAAGGCTCCTCTTTCCCTGAGCTTTGCTGATCTAGCTTCTTTGAAAACCTCAGGAAATAAAATGGTTTGTTTGGGACTGAAGAAAATGTTTCATTTGGTCCAAAATTATTTTTGTATTGTGACTGGCTGGCTGGCAGTGACTTAGCCCAGGGGTTTTGAAAGGGCAAAAGATGTTTGGAGGGCTTGGGATTCCCTTTCCTCACCAATCAGGCCTCAGAGACTCAGCCTCCGTGTCGCCTGATTGGCCCCTTGGGTTACCTGGAGGGGGATAAAAGGGGCAGCATGGGCTGACTCAGGAGAGAGACCAGCAAGGGACAACAAGGAAGGGGCTACACAGAGCTGAGCCGCCCGGGCAGGAGCAGTGCCCTGAAAGAGCGGGGCCTGCAGGCAGCAGTGGGACCCTCAGCAGCGCCGTGTGTGGCCAGCAGGAGAGGCTCCCCCCGCTCCAGGAAGGATCTGGGCAGTGACCTGAGGGGTTCCCAGCTCTGCTTCCAGCTCCTCCAATCAGAGGCCAGGCAACTGGAGGTGAGGCCAGGCTCTGGGAAGGTCAAGACCCCTAGCAGGCTGGAGCAGTGCTGGTGGCTGTGTGGTAGAGTTTTTGCCTACCAGATGGGAGATTGTAGTCCAGGTCCCAGGTGGGGTGACTTGGGGTAAGAAATTCCTCCTGCAGTTGGAAGGGGCCATTGTGTTTTCTCCCTTTCTCCCCCTCCAGGTACCTAGGCCCTATATTCCTTGTCATTTGACATTTTGTATTCTGTGCCTTTTATATTTCACCTACCAGTATTATTTTTTCTGCTGTTTGTGTTTTACATTTTGGTTACAGTATTTACAAAATGTTTTAAAGAAATGGTTTAAACCCAACCCAAACATCAACCCCAAATATTTTCTCTTACTTTTTTTTCTTAGTTTGACCACTAGACTGACAAATGAATTATTTGAAAAGCTCTGATATAGACTTTTTAGTGGACTGCTAAAATCTTTGAGGATGTACTAGACTTTCACCTATTTTCCTTGAATAAAATCTTTACATTGCCCTAATCTTATTTTAGAAAGACTGAAGTCTGTGGTCTGAGCTTAAATCTGTTCTCTTGAGAGATGTACACCCTAAGGTGGTACTCCTTCATCTGTATAAATGGCAAAAGTACTTACCTGTGATTCCCCAAATTTACCGATCCTTTGGGAGGAGAGATCAGAATAAAGCCAGAGCTTGCTGGCACCCTTATGCTTTCTCTTTTATATGCCAGTGCTGTCTTGTAAAATGCATTCATCAGGGAGCAGAGATGCAGAAAGTTTAAAATGCTTGCTACTTCATCTTATCCTGCTGGGCTTCCTTTCCAAATTGAGTGCTACTATTAAAAGCAATGTGCAGAAAATACTTATCCAGCTACACGATTTCATTTTGTTTTTGTTGTGAGTAACCAATTCTGACCATTTTGGTCACAAATCATAACCAAATCAAGGCTCCCTGCCCTGTGCTTCCTGGGGCAGCAATGATTTCTAGTCCTCTTTTGGTCTTGCAAACCAAATTCTGATCTTTGATGCTTGTACCAGCATCCTCCTTTTCCAGAAAATTGAACAATTGGCTCCTGCTGTATTTAAGCTGCCAATATTCACTAAGCAAGTGAAAAGAAACCTTCCCCTGAGATCCACCAAAAGAAATAAACCTATCTAGAAAGATTAATAAAATGTCAAAATGAGAGGGAAGCACAATGGTCTTAGACTCAAAGTACAGGGTTAAGACAGGAAATCTGAGTTCTCATCTATTCCAGACTATGCTACAGGCTTGATTTGGTCAATTTACTTAACTTCTCCATGACTCAGCTCTCGTGATTGCTAGAGTGGAAATAATGGGTTTAAATCATCCTTAGTGTAGCTTCTGGAATAAAGCAGGTCAATCTGGTCCACTTATAGTCACTGTGCTTTTGTTACAGGGACACTGTAGCCATGTCCCCACCTGCAGGGATGTGCTCTTGTAATGGCACAAAAAGTAGTGGCACAAATTTGTGCCATTACTTTTTGCCACTATGCACACCCCCGCACATGTGCTGCGGTGTGAGGCAAAATGCTGCACTTTGGGCAAACTGCCCATTCCCTGCTTCTTCCAGCTCCCAGCATGCTAGAGGAACCAGGGCAGACCTAGAGGAGGGGAGAGGCTCTTGTCAACAGCCAGAGCACCACCCTGGAGTATGCAGCCTCCAATTGCTCTGGCATATGCTTCAGGAGTGTGAGCTGTGATGCTTTTTTTTGGCACAGGTTTTTTTTTTTTATACCGGGAGTTTCTGGTATCAAATTTTGGTGCCACACTGCAAACTTGCAGCATGGTGAATGGTTGCACATGTGCCGTGTGCAGTTTGCAGTGTCTTAAACAGGTTGCAGCAACAGGTTTGAGGTGCCACAAACAGCATGACATACAAAAAACTAGAACTCTTGGTTCCAAAATGATACCTTTTATTAGACCAACTGGAAAATGGCAAGAAAATTGTCCTTTTCTGCAAGCTTTCAGGATCAAAATGTACTCTCACCTGGGCATGCCCTGGGAGGCTACTATTCTCACTGTTCACATTGTGATCCAAAAGCAGAGATGCTGTACAAGTACACAGCTGTTATAAAATAACAGTCCCTCTAACTCACTTCTTTCAAAGGCATAGTATCTTATGGTCTCTTAACAAATTAATGGAAGACTTAAGAATAACAGTGATACCTGCAACACAATAAATACTACTAGATGAGAAAACTGCTGAAGCCACAGAGGAGCAAGAATGAGACTCCCTTTCCTAATCCTCCTTTGTCATGTCTACAGGCTGGCAATCCCTGCACAAAGAAGCCTGTGGAGCAGGCAGTGTTAAATGTTGAGCATTTAATGCAGCAATGTGCTAGAGATTTTGTGCGTGAAAAGGTAGGAGAACACAAAGATATGATTGTTGTAGGAACCACAATGCAGGAAATGCAGGAACCACGAGGCAATGAGAATGAAAATTATCTCCCCCCCCCCACCATTATATAACGGGTAGGTCAAAGCAGCACTACAAAGCTGTTATGGGCATGTACAATGTCACCCTGTTACAATCCATGTGGGAATATCACAGACCTAAGCCTCAGACTTGACTCTGGCTACTTTGTGCTGCCAAAGATTGCCTTAAGACAGCTGAGAATTCCCCCTAGCAAAGGGAGATGCTAGGAGGCCGTTCACTTCCTTCCATTCCATGTTGGCAGTATGTCATGTGGAGGAAAGGACAATGAAGAAGGTTGTCGATCCTTAGAAGATACAGCTGGTTCTATGAGACTGCTGTAGACCTTACAGTCAGAGCAACCCTTGTGTTACTCTGAGTCAGCAGGGGCCAACCTTTTTGGCAAAGGTGTCACAAACTAGCCCCACTTCCTCCCTGGGTACCACTCAGATCCCTCTCCCTTACTTGGTCTGTTGTTCTTCTTTTTGCTCCCTGTCCTGTGCTTCCTGACCAAGCTGCTGCTCTGTTTCCTGCCCTGTGTTCCCTGCCTGAACTGCTGCTCTGCTTTCTGCTCCCTGGCCTATCTGCTGCTGTGCTGCTTGTCCCCTCCCCAGTGCTGCCCATGCCACTTGTGGCATGTGTGCCACAAATTGGCCACCCCTGCTGTAAATTATTTGAGGGGCTATTTCAGACCCCAGTCAGCTCAGCCTTAGGGGACCGGAAACATGACTTAGAGTAACCTCTCTCACTCCCCCCTTCCTCTGCATGTAAACATGATGCAGCTGGAATTTTATCCCATTGTCTGAATTTCCTGATTTTGGTATGTTTGCCGTTTCAATATTGTGGGGAGATTGCCTATTGATTCTCCTATATCCGGAGAAGCCTAGGCAGGCATGTTGGTGTTATGAGTTATTTATATATAATCACTATACAGTATTCGATTGTTTTTCTCGGAAGGTGTGTGGTGACTTCATTGGGAATGACATGCTAAGTACCCGGTTACCTCCTGATAATAAATACTTCATGAACCAATGCTCTATGTCTGGTATGGCAGAGTTGTATGTGTGAGATATTTT